GCGGCGTCAAGTTTGCGCACTTGGGGGGATTGTGTGAATCAGACAGACAGACAGCCCTCCGCCTCGGCACCCCGGGACCACGCAGCCCTTTACCCCCTCTTGGCAGCACTCCTTAGCTGCTGCTGCTGCCGCCACCTGAGTGCTCGCGGCAGGAGGAGGTAGGTGGGTGAGGGGGTAAAGGGCCGTGCGGTTCCAGGGCGGAAGGCTGGCTGGCTGGCTGGCTCAGGCGCCGGCAGCAGGGCACACTTACCTCCTGCTTGGCGGCACCTGCAGCAGCTCCAGCGGCCTTGGCTCCCCCGGCAGGCGGCAAGCGCGGCCCTGGCGCAGGCTCCCTTCTTCATGCACCCGCTCTGCTGGTGCGTTTTCCCACCGACCATGGGTCGTTGGAGAGGGTCCGGGCAGGCGGGAAGGATGTGGAGGGACGCAGAGGGGAGCCTCGGGGATCGGCGTTGGCTTTTGGCGGGGAAGAGGCGAAGTTCGGTGCCCCCATACAGGGCCCCCATCCAGGGCATCTAAACTGGTCTTCAGTCAAACCACTGACGCTTACAGTGGAAACTGTAGCTACATGTAACCCACTAAGGTCCTAATATCTGCAGGGAGAGTGGGCGGGTTCAGTCGGTTTTGACAGCGGAACTCCCACCTATGGTTATTAAGAATATGTAACTGCTGTTACTACACATGTACTTAAACACAGACATAAAAGAGGCAATACAACCAATGCACTTTAACATTTAAAATAAACTCTTTATACAAACAAAGCATGGAGGTTTTCATATACTTCATAGCAATGAATCTTCAGGATATTACTGAATACAGATATCTTCAGCATCCACAAGGATGCACAGAACAAAAGCAGGCGTGCCTGATCCCTGTATGCTTTTAACAGCGACAAAACTGCATGGGTTACATACACACCTAATTATTTGACTTATTGTGAACTCTTAAATAATTTTTTTCTCCTTCCTAAGTCAATCAGGCTTTTGTTCACAAGATTAAAAATAACCTCAGTACTAATTTTCAAGAACAAGTGTAATCGGTAAAGTGTACCATCCTATGGACACCATTTGCTATCTCTTCAGTTTTTCCATTCTTTCTTTCTGAAAGGCTTAATTATTTGGGGGCTATTTACCTCCATAAGAGCTAGTGTTGGCCGTAGCATTTGTGATGCTTGTAAAGTGCAAAAGATGTTACACTTATCTGCAAGAAAGTGCAAGTGCTCCATCAGGAGGCTCTCTCCACAGTTCTTTCTGCATTAGAAATTCATGGAGCAAGGCCTTGTATTTATTTCATAGAAAGCAACCTTGAGAGCGGTATTAATTATGGCCTTGTAGTTTATTTAGCAGTCTGTTTTTTTAAAGGCACTTATTTTCAGAAGATATTTAATCTTTCAAAGCAATGACATTTTCTTTTCCCAGTCAGAGTCATTCTAAGAGGAGTAGGTACAGAACGGTGTAGATTTTTCACATGCCTTTTTTCTTTTCCGCTCTCGGCTTCCCATGGGCCTTCCCAAAAAATAGCTTCTCTTGATGGCCACTCTCTTCCCTTCCTTTTTTTGTTTCCGCCTCAGGTCTGGATGTGTGGAGGTGGCATGTTTGATGTTCCATGTTCAAGAGTTGGGCACATCTATAGGAAGTATGTCCCTTACAAGGTCCCGTCTGGAACCAGCCTAGCAAGAGTAAGTAACACTTTCAATTGTAAGCTGTTGGCAGTATAGGTCCAATACTTTGTTTTTTAAGTGCAAACAGAGCCAGCATTAAGGGTCATTGTGGTGTAACACCTGCCAGGGTCTAGCTGAAGGCTATAGTACTTAGCCCATCTCCTTCCATAGGAATAGGGTTGCCAGGTCCCCCCTGTCCACTGGTGGAGAATGGGGGGTAGAGTCACCAGATCCAGGTTGGGAAACTCCTGGAGATGTGGGGATAGAGCTTGGGAGGACAGGGACCTCAGTGGGTACAATGCCATAGTCTCTACCCTCCAAAGTATCCATTTTCCTCAGGAGAACTGATCTCTGTAGTCTGGAGATGAAGTAATTCTGAGGGATACCCAGGTCCCACCTGCAGGCTGGTATCCCTACACAGGAATTGGGGATCATCTCACAGACCCCGTACAGTGTCATGGGAGCCTCTGGAAGGATCTCTAATTTGATGTGCCTGGAGCAGAACTCATTTGTACACTCTTCAAACTTATCAGCACCAAAGGGGCTGTAAGAAGTGATTGGCATCCTCCATGCAAGGGGGCAATGCACCAAGTGGTGCGCCAACTTGAGGGCATCTTGCCCAGGGTCCTCCAGAACATAAGAGCAGCCAACCCCTGAGTACGCATTATTTGGAAAAAAAACAAGTTGCACAACACTCTCCATTTTTCTGAGTATCGAATGATCTAAGTGGTTTTTGCAGAAGAAAAGAAACATATTTTGCAGCTAGATTTGTTAAAATGGTCTAAATCCAGTATGTGCAGCTTTGGAAAACAAATGTCTTCTAGCATGAAGAACAGGACATACTGAAACTTCTTTTTCTGGAAGCTGCGCTACAGGATTCAATGGACACCACTCTCAGCAGAGGACTTGCAAAGTGAGGCTGGCAAAGTTGGATGAGCAAAGTGCTACAAATGTGGGCCTGTTTCTTAAAGCAAACAAACACTACATTCCTAAGCATGTACACTCAGAAGTACGTTCAGTGGTACTTACTCCTGAGTAATTATGTTTAGGATTGCATCCCAAGTCTTCAAGTTAGTGACTTAGGGAGAGGCATCCATGCTTCTGACATTACTCTTTTTACTCACTCTCCAATGAAAACTGACACAGATTGCCATAGGTCCTTTACGCACTAGACCTTAAATCCTGGTTTAGCCCTATCCCCGAACGTACATTCTACACTACACTCAAGTTCACCCCTGTAATTATCTCGGGGTATTTTTTGTTTCCACATTACATTGAGGTCACCCCGGTTTCGCCCCACACTTGTCCCAGGATAAACGGATACTGTTATGACCAGGGATAAATGCAAGGAACTGTGTTGCGAGTTGAACTCTGATAAAACCAGGGATGAGATCCACGTGCCGAAAGGACCATGGTCTGTACAGGGTAATCAGGAAATCCTCGTAAATCAGCAAGTCTGTCTCAGTTCAAGAAGCTGGAATTCAGCTGAGTGGCTGGTCAGTTCCCGCATGCTCCATGTCCTAAGCCAGTTGCCGTACCAAGGAGGCTGAGTTACAGAAGTGATCTCATAAGTCTGCTGTATCACAGTAATGCAATGCAAACTTGCAGATCAATCTGTTTCCAAGCAATCATCCTGAAGGGAAAAGGGATCTTTTGTGTAAGCCTGCAGCCGAAAGGGACCTTGGCTATCTTTGACTCTTAAATGCCAGCAGCTGTTGCGGCTGCGGCTGCTTGACTTCAGCTGTCATCACTCAACTACCATACAGCTGACAGAATGGAATGGGGCCGTCAGGAAAGGAGTGCTTTCCATGACGACGTCTTTTTTACAGTAGCGCATTTTGTTTGTACCCCTCTGACCTTCCACTGAAGCTTTCCATTAAGCTTCTAACTTTTTGATCCTGATTAACTGCCAACTAGATAAACTCATGTCAGAGGTCTTGTTTAGACAGTGTGTGTGTGTCTCAGCTGCAAGCCAGCCCCCTTCTAATCTTCCCCATGTTTTCCCAGTCCAGTACCAGTAACACAATATGCCATCATGATCGTATAGATGGAAGAAGTTCTAGTGGTGGTGCAGGGAGAGAGAGGGGATAGGTCAGTTCAAATCTGCTGCTTTTTCATTTAAAAAAAAATCAGAGCAACCTCACAAAACGATGAGGCGTTGCTGCATGAGGAGTTTGATTATAATAAATGTTAATAAAAACATGCCTGAGGACAGAGAAGGAGCAGCTCAGCTACATTAGCTCTGGCCCGGCAGAGTTTGGTGTCTGTCACCACTTAGTATCATTTTGAGACCTGGAAGTCTACACAGAGCAACAAAAAGAAGACAGCTAGACGCCAGTGTCAGCTGATTCCTCTGTGGTCCCATCCTCTCCACTATTGTTTACTACCGTACTGGAAGAAGAGACCCACATGTTCCAGTAGATTAACTGCACTATACTTTATTACTCTTTCTACACTGCCAGGATCAATCTTCCCACCTTTCCCTGAGTCTTAATCCCTGGGGCTCCCAGTCATTCACCCACCTCCAGTGCTGTTGTCAGTCTGCCAACGGTTGCCATCACCCATCTGTGCTCTGTCCAAATTCTATCCTGTTTGCTGCCTCTGCTCTTCTTTCTCCTGTTCCCTTTCTGCTGTTCCTCACCCAGAAAACAATTGTCCTCTTGATCTCTTCAGCTGCTGGCCATCCCTGAAACCCGGCTCCTCCTCTCTTATGATGCAGCTCTTACTGCCCTCTCCTTTAGATCGCGGTTGTAGGGGTGGCCCCCTCCTGTCCAAATTCAGGCAGCTCCAGCCCATGCCTGCCCTATCCCATTTCACTGCTTATCAAACTTCAAAGTTCATTGTGCAGGATTCAATATCCACTTTGCTGTCCTGGATCAGCTCCACCTACCAGCCTCTCTCACTTTTCAGCTCAGCACTTGATGCTTAGCTCACCTTCTTACCTGTTCTTTGGTGATTTCATGTAGATAATCTCTGACCCAGCTGCATCCCAACTCCACTTCTTATTTGAGCTTTGCCTTTGAATCGGGCAAGGAAAATAGCAGGCGAGGAAAAGATTAGGCAGTTCTCCACTTACCACTTTTTCTGCTTCCGATCTTTAGAAGCAGATTTTTTTTCTTCTTTGATAAGATCCTCAAGGCTAGTTCCATGTATTTGTATTTCAGTGTAACACGTACTTTGGTATTCAGTTCATAACATGCAAGGAAAGCCTTTTTGCATTGATAAGCAAAGACAGTTCATTTAAAATGAGTAACCATTTAAGCTGGTGGAATCATGTGCAAAAAGTAGATAGCAAGAAAAGGTACTGTAAGCTCTAGACCAGGGGTGTCAAAGATAAGGCCCGTGGGCTGGAAGTGGTCTGTCCAAGGCCTCTGATGTGGTCCACGAGTAACTGATGTAAGGGAGGGAGTGCTGGGGGGGAGTGGGCAGAGCCACTCCATTGTGGCTTCAGCATGGCAGAACAACCTCCTCTGCAGCAGTCCAGCATCGTGGGAGCATCTGCCCAGCACTGCACCACTGCCTCTCCAGTCCGCCTATGTGGGTTTTCCTCTGCACACACCCCCTCCCAGCCCAAGGGGCCTTGCAGTGAGGATACACCAACTCAGAGCTTATCAGCTGCTGTTCTTTATACAATTTCTGTCTCCAGTATCTGGCATTACTTTTTATGGCATATGTGGCCCGTAGGCTTACCAAGGTCCGGCGGGGGAATTGTATTTCTTGGCAGGAGCCTTGCCGCACGGACAGCTCCACGCGCTGCACCCGCCGTCGCCAGGATGTGATGCTCCACGTCACTCTGGCAACAGGACTCCAAACAGCCCCGTTGCCAGAGCAACGCGGAGCGTCACATCCTGGCGACGGCGGGTGCAGCGCGTGGAGCCGTCCCCGCGGCAAGGCTCCTGCCAAGAAATACGATTCCCCCGCCGGACCTTGGTAAGCCTAGTGGCCCGGCCCAACAAAGTGACATTTATGTCAGATCCAGCCCTCATAACAAATGAGTTTGACACCTCTGCTGTAGACTGTTTTGTACAGTCAACAGATCCCAAGTGATGGCCTCCTGGTGCACCTGGAATTGCCAGAAGTCTCTCAACTCAGCTAGATTGCATGGAGATGTCAACAGTATGATTTGTCCATGAACGGCAGACATGCCAGATCACAATTTGTCTCATAGCCTTTTTTCATGATGCCGCCATAATGTAAACTGTAGGCACTGCATACCTGTACTCCATGTAGAGGTCTCTGTTCATACAGCTGGGGCACCCACATCCTGTCTGGGACTGTTGTCAGCCTTCAGCTATACGAAGCAATCAAACAGCAATCTACTAAACTGTTTTGCCAGAGATGCAAACATATGTGTGTCACATCACATTTCAATGAATACCCATCTGCCTCCTTTGCACAAATTGTTATAACTTTATTACTTCCCCCACTTTCCCTTTCATGCAGATTGTACATTATGAATGATCTCTTGGGGACATCAAGCCACCCTCTTGCAAATATGTTCTATAAAGCAGATGACAAGTGATGAGTAGACAGATCTCTAAATCACAAAGGAAGGAAGATTAGGCATAATAAAAATTCAGTGCAATTCTCCTTTCTTCAGATCAGTCATCAAAGACAAAAATGCCTACCTTGTAAATTGCTCTTTCTTTGGCAAGCGGTATTAAGCACTGCTTTGCAAAAGAAGCATGAGGAAGCAGAACAAAATTAAAATATGAAAATATACTGACATATGTAGTCCACTTAACCCACATTAGCCCATGCAATCTTTATAGCTCACATTTTGGACTGGCAGGTGTTAGGAATCGATTCATTCACTAGCATTATTGCTTCTTGATGTGCTTCTGTGAATTGTATATGCATTATGGCATCCAAATACATATAACCGAGTCTCCAACATAAGTCTTAGATCTCATGTTGATCCCCTCTTCTACTTGGCCCCCAGTGTTCTTCTCTTTGTCTGGTCCCATTTCCTCAGCAAAGCCTCTTCTGAAGCCCCTACTTTTACTTTGCAATGTGGTTCTCCTATAAGCATGACTTGGTGGTCAGTCCCCAACTTTTCCCAATGTCTTCAATGTGGACCCTACAGATGAGGGCACATACTAATTTCTGTATTCTGTATAGCATACAGACTACTGATATTAGATCAATGTTAAATGGTAACTGTACATATTTATCAGATACTGAAACTCTGAGGGACTGGTAGATTATACAATAATACAGCACAATGTTCAATAGGACCAGTCTGCTGTAAGCATATTTTTGCAGCTAGGCCCAATGGAATTGTCATATGATCTTGAAGAATTCTGTGGTACAATGATCTGAAACAGATGTGCGAATGAATATCATTCCTTTTTCCTGCTTTTGGTCCCATGCCTTCCTGTGTCCTTCCTCTTGAAATCTAATAGCTGGAGAATTTCTGAGAAGAATCATGTGGTATCGTCGCCTGTAAAACTGCAACAGCTGGATATGATGCATAAGTCATTTAGGAATAAGGACATTGGAGTTGTCAATTCTTATACTGTTCTAATTGCACTCACACAATTCCTCAAAGCATTAATGTTTTTCTGTGTCAGTAACCTGTGTTGCTGTACCAGCTGAAATCTGCTTCATTTGTTCTATATCTCACAGCCTTTGTATTTGGATATGTTTTATTGGCTTTGAGACATCTAGCTTTGTTCAGATGCCTGATGCAAAACAAATTTATACAGTGCAGGACAGCAGCTTCTAAATGAACACTGGAAGCAGATCACAATAGGAGAGAAATATGAAATATTATCTTATGCTACCGATTATGAGATTGATACTGCTTTCCATCTGCAGAACATGTCTCTCAGTGTTTTGTAACCGCATGCTCTATAAAAGAATAAATATTATAAGGTTTACAAGTGGCATTTTGAAAGGGAGGGTTTATGATGTCCCCCTTCACTGTTCGAATATCCCCACTGGCAGAATCTAGTATGGAGGATAAGGATGAGGAAGTATCTGTGACAACACTCCTTTCATCTGGTGAGAACAGAGAAAATGATAGAGTAACACTTACCATCTTCTATTTTCAAAGTATGCGAATGATCTTACAGATTAGAATGAGCTACTCATTCTATTAAATCACAGCTAAAAGTATTTCTAGGTACATAGCAAGTGGGAAATTGTGTTTTTGAATGCTTTTTTTTTTGCATTAACAAATGCTACATGTAGAAATCAGCACATCAGTTAGAAAAATTCTGGCTTCCCCCTTTGCTTGATATGCTCATTTTTTATATAGAGATGAGTGCTTTTCCCCTTGGCTAAACATTCAGAAATATAATTCCCCCCCAGTGGCCATGGTATAATCCAGTTTTGCTGGATAGGTAAATTGGCCCTTACCCCTAGGTAAAAACCACACATGAGAACAGTTGGAAACACCGTGAAAGGTATAGGTACCACTTCTTGACCCTTTCCTTGGAAGGATTTGTATTTTAACCCTTGTTAAATTTGTGATGGTTAAATTTTATGATAGTATCATATGATACTATTTGTAAGCCGCTTTGAGTGCATTTAGAAGTGATAGATAAATGCTTCAAATAAATAGGCTTTAATGTAAGAGTATTCACGTGCCACAGAAAGCTTTGAGCCATCAATGCCGCTTTGCACACAGAAGAAGGGTTATTACATTGCTAGATATTTCAGGTATTAAAATATTTGTGTACTACATTTCTACCCTTATGCTGACCAACAAGAGACATGATAAACAGGTCCAGGGATCGCCCTCCCACCTATAACTCTGAAAGCCATTATAGATAAGTAACCCTATCAATGAACCAAAGTCTGAAAAATATTAAACACAGCCTCAGGAAGGTCATTCCAGGGGAATGGAGATGCTGCTACTGAAAAATGTTTGTGATCTAGTTGGAGCCAGTCTAATTGCCTTAGGTGATAGAATAGAGAGGAGAAATAATGGAGAGCAAAGCATGGAGTAGAAAGCTATGGAAGGGGGTCTTAGTATGGACTTACAGAGCTCTGTATAATATAGTTGAAAATGAGAGCCCTTGCCGTGTACAAGGCTCCAGACCATAGCTAGATTGAAAAGCAGCCTTCGGGAGAAACTGTGAATGACTTACGCTTAACCCTTCACAGTACACAGAGGTCTCAGTCTCATGGGCATGCCCTGTGGTGTGCTTAAATTACCATAGCATCTCATTCGTTTATTCAAAACGAGATAACTATTCAGTGGCAGCAATCACTGAAAAATAGAAATGAGAGAATTGGTTCTGAATCTGGAAATTCCATATCTTAGATCATCTCCTAACATCTAATAAGGAGATGGCAGAAGGGGAGAAATTAGATGCCCTTATTAGGTTTTCTCATTGTACCAATTCAAGTTGAACCTGTTGCCTTTCCATGTAAATGTGTTGTTTAAAGAATATCCCCTTCCCCTTTTGTATAAAAAATAAAGAACTGACATTCTGCTGAGATGGAGAGACTGTGAAGGAGCCAAAACCCTGTTCAGGAGGAGGAAATGCTATGTGTGGTGTCATTTTGACTTGAATGTAGACACAGATGGAGAAGATGGGGAATGCAGAAGCAAAAATGGGTTAAAGGAGCTTGACAGGGAAGGAATCAGAGATGGCAAGGATATCTAACCAGGCTGCATGTTCCAGAGTAGTGGAGAGTATTATACTTTTACATACATCCACTGGAAATATGAACATCATGTACAAGTGCTTCAAAGTGCATACATATGGGCTGCAAATGTTGAAAGGCAAGAACTGGACCTGTGGTAAAAGACCTATGTGTGCATGGTGAGAGTCAGAGCTGGATAGCGTGGTGAATTGGCCAGTTTTCTACCAAGTGGTCTGGTTTTTCCCCTTCTGAGCAATAGCCCAGTGAAAGGGTTTTTTCCCCTTATAATGGAGGAAACAGGACAAAGGCCAATTTTCAATTATTTATTTTTAATTAGTTGTTGTTTCTGTCATGCTTGGAGTGACTCAAATGAGTTGGGGGGGGGGAGATCAGACATTCCCCTCCAGTTTCATCCATTCCAATCATTAGGGAAATACATGGTACAAGTGCACAAGCCTTTGTCCTGGCGTGGCCTTTCCTACTTTTTCCCCATCCTTCCTCCACTTTAACCAACTTTGACTTCTGAAGGCAAATTGATTTTTTTTTAATGTTTCATAAAGCTTCAGGTTAAAATCTTCCCACAGTAAATGAAGGCTTACTCCAGGTTTTCTGAAACCTTTTGATCTGATGGGTTTTTGTTGTTGTTGCACTTTATCCTTAAGGTGTGTGAAGCCTTTGCTTTCAGAAGCCAGAACAAAGTCCGGTGGCACCTTTAAGACCAACAAAGTTTTATTCAAAGTATAAGCTTTCATGTACAAGCATATAGAATCCAAAGAGCCCACATGAAAAGGACCTAAGACATCCTGATTGCTACAAGGAAAAATTAAAAGGGACATTTTACATCTAACAGTCAAAACTTCAACACATGAAGTATTGTGTATTGCATTCCAGAACAGAACAAGCGAAATCTCATATTAGACAGGATAATGACTAGTGAGTTAAGTTCTAATAGAGATGCAAAATAGAGTCTTGTTCTACAAATCCTCTTTGTAGGATCAGGGATATTTAGGATTTAAATGAAAGGCATCAAGTGGAGCAAAAGACTATGCACTTTATTTAATAAACAGACCTTAAACACAAAGCATTTCTGAACAGAAACTATGTGAAATATTGACTAATCAAGTAAAAATTGAGAGATCTTTGCAGTAAGATCCCATTGAAATAATTAACCAAGTCTTTACTGTATCTAGTTAATTAAACCCCTTTCAGTAATTGCAAAGAAGTGTTTAAAAAAAGGAGAATGAAGCCATCAGTCTGATTTTGATCAGGCTTCTAATAGCATTTAAATGTGAGAGGCTTTCGTTGCTTAATGCACAGCCATCCGAAAACTAGATAAGGAAATGGCATATTGTAATTTTACATCGGTGCCAATGGTGAAATCCAGGCTAAGTATCAAGAGTTGACTGACTGTTACTTTCTGCTGCTCAGAACCTGAAGCGCGTGGCAGAAACATGGATGGACGAGTTCGCAGAGTACGTTTACCAGAGGCGGCCCGAGTACAGACATCTCTCCACCGGTGACATCTCAGCCCAGAAGGAGCTTCGAAAGCACCTGAAGTGCAAAGACTTCAAGTGGTTCATGGCTGCAGTGGCTTGGGATGTCCCTAAATACTTTCCACCAGTGGAGCCCCCTCCTGCTTCCTGGGGAGAGGTGAGGAATATGCCTTGAACACCACTCAGTTTAATAGCATGGTCCCTTCTCTATGGGCAGTGCTGCATTTCCAGCAGGGCTGCTGCTGTTATGATATAGCTTTCACAAAATTAGTTCTGACTTCCTTGGCTGGTGGGTCATTAGGAGCTGGTAGTGATTGGAACCACCTACGAAGCAGCCGTCAAGAAGAGGGACTGTTGTTCCTGAAATATGTATCATCCATTATCGTTATCTGTATGCCCTCTGGTGCCACGCTGCATGTGCAGTAGAGACTCCTTCCAAAATGTGCAGATGCTTATTTGTGGGCCTCAGTGATTTTGGAGACTGCCATAGGTAGACTGCATGAGTTGTGCCACTAAGTTCTGTGCACCCTCTATCATCTGAACAAAAATGGAAAGGAATTTTGTGCACAAGTGATGACTTGGTTTCTAGATTTGCACAAAGAAAGATATGTTTAAAAATAGAGATGTTATTCCAGTGAGCTTCTGCTTTTAAAATATTTAGCTGTCTGGCAGTTTCGCACCAGTTTTTTAAAAGTCACTTTATCATTTGAAACACATTCTTTAAAAAAACCCAACAAAGTGAGATTGTAAATACGAGGTCAGTCCATGCATACAGCCTGCTGGCTTTTTTTCCCGCTGGTAGCTTCCAGGGGAATGTAAAGTATGATGCAGAACTGGAGCCAGGAAGAAATTTCTTTGCTCGAGGTGCCACTTTGGAGAGCTGCAGCCATCACAGAAACTGTGTTCCAAATACAAGTTATCTATTTCCCCGCATTATTGCATACCCAAGGATGATTTGTGGGGGAAATGCTACAGGAGGCATATGTGCAGGGATGCTTTGATTCTTCAGCCCAAATGGAAGCAAGCCAGAATTTTCCATTTCAGTTTATCCACTCAATTATTAAATAATGCAGGGCTCTGAAGGGGGTGGGGGATGCATATGCTCATAACAGTTAAAGACTGACCTTAGGCCATAAGCAGAAGATCAAGTGTCAGGTGACTGCTTCCTTCCCTCTCTTGTCTACAGCTCCATCTACACATTACAAAGTCCTCATGTTTGTTGGGGAAGAATACAAGGATTTCGTACTACATGTGCAATGGGAGTTTTGTGCCTCCCAGACGCACACTGGTTCATTTCTGTTTGGGACCACAGCACTCAGGGAGAAGCTGCTTTGGTCCCCCGTTTTTGCATCCACAAACTGTTGGCCACTGTTAGCGCTGCGGTGAATCTGACACAAGTAAGGTGATTTTTACAATCGAGCCAACAGCAGCTCCACGGGGCAGTTTCCAAATGCTATAACAGGTGTGGGGGGGGGACTATGTGCTGTGGATGCAAACAGAAAAGAGGCGGTGTGCATCCGAGAGGCACAAAGTCCTTGTGTTGTTCCCCAACCATGTGTAGCTGGAGGCTACACCTATCATACGATTTTTATGGGCTCTGGCAGGTGATGAGAAGTCTCTAATTGTCGCTGTGAGAAACAGGATGCTGGACTAGATGGACCTTTGATTTGATCCAGCAGGACTTGTCCTGTGAGACACACAGGAGCGAGCTTTGACTTGTCTGGCATACCATGAAAACTCCTGCTGTTTTTCTAAAACTATATGTTATTTCTGCACATATTCTCCATTTTCTTAAACAATGTAAAAGGGCAATGGTGTTTTCCCTCTGCAGTAAGGCTCTCCTATTCCTGTGCATTCCACCCAACAGATGATTGCCCTTCCAATGCAGAACTGAGTCTTAAAAATGGAAGGACACAGGGGAGACTGTGTTCTCCAGGCTCTGAAAATGTGATTCTCTAAACACAGTCTAAATGGTGGCCAACAGTGAGATTTTTCTCCCTAAGTAGCCCCTCTTTCTATCACCCTACTTTCTAATGCCTTTGGTTTCAGTCCAGTATTGTGATTGGAGTTTTTTGCTTAATGATTAATGATCTTTAATGTTGAAGAACATTTGAAGGTCTGTGGATTTTATAATAGTTAATTGAAAAGAGAGAGGAAATATATATTCTGTTTGCTACTTCTCTAAAACATTCTCAGTCAATGTGATCTGTTAGATGTCCACCTGGACTGTCATTCAGCGCATTCTCCATTTCCTCTTGGAGAGGATAGATATCAAGCTGGCTGTTTGTGCCTGTCTGAGGGCAGTTTTGCAGTAAGAACAGAGCAGTGAATGTATAAACAGCCTATGAAATTTTATTTCTCTTCTTGTAAACCCCTTTTTGTACAAATTAGCAATTTCTTGGCAGTGCATATTCTTGCAAAGACTGAAGTGATTTTTGAAAACTGACAACTTTGCCCTTGAGGTAACCTCTAGGTTTTGGAAGGATACATTGTCCATCTAGTATCTTGTTTTGCCGTTTCATCACTGGAGGCGAATTCAGTACAGCAGATGGCTTGCACAGGGATGTGAAGTGAAAGGAACTCATTTCATTGCTACCAATTTTATCATGAGAATCACTCCTTTCAGTTTAAAAAAAACCCTCTGTTGTATGTTCCATCCCCATTTGGGCACAGGCAGGCCGTACCTACAAGAGACTGTGAGCAGGCTACACGGAGCCCCCATTTCTCCATTCCCAGCCAGGTTCAAATTCCTGTTGTGTTGTAAGGGTAAGGTGAATGATGGGAGAACACTGTGATAAGCTGCTTTGGCCCACAAGGGAGAAAAGTGGGATGTAAATAAAAAATAAACAAAATTTAAAAATAACATAATAAGCAGCATGCAGCACAGTGGTTACTTCCATCCATCCATGGCTGTCCTCCGCACTGCCCTGACTGACAGTTTACTTAAGCTTGGAGAGCTGAATGTACAATTGATGATTTTGCACAACTGGAATATAGATGGGTACTGGAGTGCTCCTCCTGTCACCTGGTGGTTATGTGAGTAGGGTGTCTGCATTCTCTTATCCTCATGGGGTTTTTCGTCAGTTCTGGCCCCATCCTGCTTCAGTTTATCCCCTGATTTCTATACACCTTTTTCTGCCTTTGGTTTTCACTTTGTGTCTGCCCCCCCCCCATTTTTCCCACCTGTTTTGAGACCACTTTACCCTGATGATCTCCTGAAAGCCAATTCTGAGGTTTTTTCCCTAGTGTGTAATGTTTCTATTGGGTTCTTTGTCCCACCTACCTCCAGTCCACTTTGTCCCACCCACCTCCAGACAGGACTGTCATCACTGTTAAACCATTCCCTCCCCTACCTTGAAGATGAATTGTTTCATTTTTTTTAAAAAAGGCCAAAAATATAGATATATTGCTGTAGTTTTGTAACGATAGCTTAAGCAGGATCTCTCAATTTGCAGTTTTCAGTTTTGAAAAGTAAATTTCTAGCTTCTTCCCTTGGGGAGATTATATGCCTTTTTCCATATATCTCTGCAAAGGAAGGGTACAGTGATTTACTTTTTTAATGAAAGCTGGGAACTCAGAGAACCTGCTTCAGTTGACATTGCAACACTACAGTGATATGTCAATACTTAGGTCCTTTAAAAAAAAAATCATCAACGATGATGACAGCACACACCCCTTGAAAATCCCCATTATTTAAGCCACGCGCAGAAGAAAATAAACTGACTCCACAACTATAAAAATGCACAGGGAGGGCATATGTTTGGAAGAACCCTACCCAAACTGATTTCAGTGGCTGTGGATTGACTCCCAAGAAAATCAAGAGTGATCCGAGCATGTGGAAAAGGTCTCAGTCACATCGTGACTAGTAGTCATATGCAACAAAGTTCAACTAGAACAATATAGTGGCCGTTTTCTTGTTAGGCTCTTCAGCCCCTGTCTTACCCTGTGTGGTGTCAGACTTTCACACATGCTAAATAATGCAGTTTCAAGCCATTTCAGCGACGGTTTGCAAGTGGATGTTGCCATTTCATACATTAAAATCCAGTTGCAAAGTGTATTGAAATTGGATCGAAGGTGCGTTATTTAGTGTGTGTGAAAGTGCATCAATATGGTTACAGTGTCAGACTAGGATCCGAGAGCCCCAGAGTCCCTACTCTGCCATGGAAACGTGCTGGTGACCTTGGGCCAATCACACACTCTCAGCCTAATCTACTTCACAGAGTTGTTGTGCAGATAAAAGGGAGGTAGGAAGAACTGTGTAAGCTGCTTTGGGTCTTTATTGGAGAGGAAAATGGGGTATAAATGAAACAAATAGGTAAATAATAAATAATTCTTGTTCACTTTAAAAGGCACTGAGACTAGGGTTGCCAAGTTGTTCTGACTCACCGGCGGGGGAGTGTCTCTTCGGTCCGGGAGCTTCCGAGGGATGCGTGTGCGCCACCAGAATGTCACAGGAAGTGACACACGACGTAGAGCACGTTGGGCCATGGCCCCAATCGTTGGGAGAGAAAACCACAGAGTTTTCCCTCCAACGATTGGGGACACGCCCTCAACGTGCTCTACGTGGTTGCGTCACTTCCTGTGATGCACCCACGCTGCGCTTCGGGGGGCGGGGTTCCCCCCTGGGCCTGATTCCGCAGCGGCGGAAATCGGGCCTCCAAAGCGGCGGTTTACCTGCCCCCCGCCCCCACTTGGCAGCCCTAACTGAGACCCATTAAGGCAAACTGCCACCCTACTGCCTGACTGCTCATACTTTCTAATAGGGTTCATCAGTTTCCTAGATCTAACTGAAAGAAAATGAAGCCGCTTTATCCTGATCCTTGGATTTCATATCTGATATAGCAGTCATGGGAATGTTCAAAAGGGAGACTTCTGAAGTGGAAGAAGTAATCCACATAAGACAGAATCAAAGTGTTAGAACTGACGCGTTCTTTATTATGCAGAAAGGATGACCTTTTCCATAGCTTTAATGACTCTATCTCGGCCCATCATTTACTTGGTATAAAATAAATATTTTTAAAAGATTCTTGTATGTTGCACAACCCCTGTGCCACTCGCATTCCCACCAATCATAGTGGTCCTTCTGAACTACAGATTTCCATGTTTTCTCTATGCTACAGATTTTGGTCCTGGCTTGGTTTATTTCCGTGGCTTCCTCTCACAAGAATGTTCAGGTTTTTTAAAAAAGAAGTTATTAGGTAGCAGCCTAAAAAGTGGCTTGTTAGATATTCTGTCTATAATGCTGATGTGCGGAATACATACTGCTTTCTTACTCCCTCACTAATAATTGTAGCGGTGGGTCTCTGTACTGCTTTAAATGTAGAGGGCAAGAGTGACCTTCCTTTTTGTGTATTTTGCACCCTTGAAAAGCTTCCTGTTGCAACACAGACACTTGTGCATTCAAGTCACTGGAGCTGTGTTATGCGAAAGGCATTCTGTGCATTTGTGGGGAATGGAAGGTTTTTATGAGGCTAGATTGCACTGCAGTGACCCTGACAAGCGAATCAGGGCACCACCTTTGATACTCAAGGACAACACATTATTTGAATAGATGATTCAATTGAGCAGCATTTCTGACTTGATTTACTACATATTTTAGCCACCGGCAACTGCTTCATTTGAGGAGCTTCAGCTAGTGTTTGCTAGACTGAACAGATGCATGGTATTCTTTTTAATACCACATAAGCTTGTTTTTCAATTAACAACAATCAGGGATAAAAACACTCATGAATTCATCATTTTGATTAACTAGTTCATGGTCTGATCATTGCTTGAAAACAGAACTTAGTTTGCTTGCAACCAACCGTCTCTGCTCTTAAGCCCCTTACACAAATGCAAACTGTTTTTTTTCACATGTGTGCCATCAAAAAAGAAGGGGTCATCTGACATTCACATACAAGTTACAGTTATGCCCAGTAATAAATATATTTTTGTATATAACACTTTTTTAAGGAGGTTGTCTTACATTTAGGCTTGGCTTCCTTTTGAATAAATATGGCATGTTTGGGAAGTATAACACTTCTCCTGGATGCGTTTCTTGTCTGTTTCTCACGATCCCTTCAATACACATTATTCAGGAGTCACTGTCCTTTCTAAAAATAATGTCAGATTTAACAACAGAATAGGGTTGCCAGCCTCCAGGTGGGGCCTGGGGATCTCCCGCTTTAACAACTGATCTCCAGCTGACAGAGATCAGCTCCCCTGGAGAAAATGGAGGCTTTGAAGGGTGGCCTCTATGGCATTCTACCCTGCTGAGACACCTGCACTCTCCTGGATCCACCCCTAAAGTTTCCAGGTATTTTCCAACCAAGACCTGGCAACCCCACAACAGAATGACAATACGTTCTACTAGTCCTTGATGAAATTGCTAAAAATCCTATAGCACTGCTGGACTGGACCAAAGGTCCATCTCATCCAGCAGTTTGTTCCAAATCCTTTCAAGGAAAAAAGGCCAATCTCAAGCGGATTGACTCAAGACTCTTACTCAGGTCTATGTTTTTATAACTTTGTAAACTATTAGGCTGCGGTGGCTCAGTGGTTAAGATGCTGAACTGCAGACCAGAAGGTCGGTAGTTCGGCAGTTTGAGACCCGAGTGCCGCATGACAGAGTGAGCTCCCGTCTCTGGTCCCAGCTACTGCCAACCTCGCAGTTCGAAAGCAAGAACTTGCAAGTAGATAAATAGGTCCCGCTTCGGTGGGAAGGTAACAGCATTCGTGTGCCTTGGCGTCTAGTCATGCCGGCCACGTGACCACAGAAACGTCTTCGGACAGCGCTAGCTCTTCGGCTTGGAAACGGAGATGAGTCGGATTCGACTGGCTTTCGAGCAAGGGAAACCTTTGCCATTACCTTAAACTGTTAGGTGGCTTGGTAGCCCATAAGTGACAGAATGGCAGTACACACATTTCAGACAAACAAACAAACAAGTGACAGAATGATTCATGCAATGCAAGTGGGAAAGGCACAGTCTTGGAATCCTAGGGCAGGCTTATCAATCATACTGGTATTTGGAGGCTCCTATGCCAGAAGGACCATACTGAAAAGAGCTAGTTCAGTTTTATATCTCAGCTAGATGTGTTCATAGGTTTTAGAGTCTGGAAGGGACTCTCAAGAGTATGCTTGTGACTTTAAAACCTAACATGAAAAGTAGTTGGATCCAACAGCTGTCTTTTGCTACATAAAGAGAAATACTGCTTCTGTTGGAAGAGTCCTGATTTAGCAGAAGGGAAACATTAGATCCAACCGACTGTATTTCAGATCACAGCCATTTTAAGTCTTCTGTCATGAAAGATTTTGGTGTTGGAGAGTGCTGGGTGATATACATATTTGTATTTCCAACTAATCAAAGCAAAACCTTTAAGCATGTTACTGCTGGTGGCCACAGCAAAATCAGCATCATTCTAAGCTGTTCCATAATGCATCACTTGTACTAGTTAGAGTATCAGAGAAGGATTTGGGAGAGCTGGGTTTGAATCCCTACTTTTCCATGAAAACTTGCTTGCTGGTCTTGACCAGCTACTCTCTCTTGGCCTAACCTACCTGACGGGGTTTTAGTTGTAAAGATAAAATGGAGGGGGCAGAATGGTGTTGTAAGCTGCTCTTCATTCCCATTGAGGAGAAAACCAGATTATAAATATGTACAAATAATTTTGGGCCTAATTGATTTGACAGATTCGAAATGTGGCAGCAAATCTCTGTGTGGACAGTAAGCACGGAGGAACAGGAACAGAACTCAGGCTGGATATCTGTGTGAAGGATGGCTCAGAACGAACATGGTCACATGAGCAGGTATTTTGCCAGTCACATGACCCTTTCCCTCTTGCTCACTCTTTATACGTGCAGCCAATCTTTCTCCAGGAAACAAAAATAATCTCATGTGTGATGTAGACATGGTATTTTATTTTCTGTTTCTAGCAGCCCTAAAACAGCTGTAGAAAGAAATGCTTATTATGTAGCAGTCGTTATTACTAGATTTAATAAAGCATATATAACACATTCTGGAGGAGACACCTCAGAGTCAGGCACAGTAACTGAAGCAAGGGATGGATTCCTTTAACCATAGCCAAATTTGGGAAACACTAGAAGCCTGACAAAAGTAATGTATAAATCTTTGCTTTTCTTTCTGTTACACACAGCAATGAAACTATATCTCAGGAACATTGCAGTTATGTTCAGAAGCACCAGCTTGTCTTGTCGGAATGGATGTAGGATTGCCATCTGTGTTCAACAGTGGCAATTAGAATTATGTAGTTCTGATAACAGTCAGCAGAGGGCAGCACTAGACAAGCAGACCTCCATGCTGGACCAGAACAAGATAGAAAACTTAATGGATTTTTAACTGCAAAATATTTTCAATCTCCAAAGCCTTTAAGGATGGAGAGCTTATGCAAGATTAAAGCAGGCTGTGGGATGGAGGAGGAGAGCGGACAAAACAATCACTTTACAATTCAAATGAGCAGAAAATGAATTTCAAATTTTGAGTATGGTCTGCTTTTATTTTTCAATGTATTCAGCTCTTCTTAAGTGACTAAAACTACAGCGGATTGTATTGTACCAAAGTAGAAGCTATGCAAATCAGTATTTCTACTTGGCTTTTAAGATAATGCAAAAGGTAACCTGAAAAATAAGTTTCACTTCTGGGAAGAGATTTAAAAAATGTAAATCGAGCTGTGCAGAATGTACAACTATGTCAGTTTTGGAGGCCAACATAGTACTTTGGGGATGGAAAACATTTCCTGGAAAAAAAACATGGTGGGAATGTTAATTTTTCTGGACCTGTTCACTTGCTATTTTACTATTTTGCTTTACTTTGGTCCCAGTCACACGGGCCGGAAAATGCGGGGGGGGGGCTGTTTGCCCCGGAGCAAACTAATGCACGGCCGCCAGGTCACACGTCCTGCTGATGTCCCGTGGTTCAGGGGGAGATGCCAATCACACAACAATCCTGCGGCGCGACAGAGAAGCGGCGTGGCGCGATCACAGCAGCAATGGCTAGGCGCCATTGCTGTGGCAAACGGGGTTGTGGGTTTTTTTAAACCGAAGTGTGCGCATGCGCCGTTGGGTGCGTGTGCGCATCCCGTGGAGACTCGGGGGAAAAAACCCTTTTTGCGACGGGACATGGGCAGGCGCCGGATGCCACGAACTACCACCAGAAACGCGATCAGACGCCCGCCCTTGCCCCATGGTTTCCGGAAACTAGTACCACGGAGGTACTAGTTTTTTACGCCGCATCTTCGGCGGGAAGCCTCGGGTTAGCCACAGGAGCTGTATGCTTCCCAGATGTTGCGGTGTGATCGCGCCCGGAAAATCCGCCTATCTTAGTAGCATGGCTAATGCTCCGCCTTTGTTCTTCAAATTACCACAGTTCCAGAAGTCAATTTCCACATTCTGGATGATGTTACCATGCTATGTAACCAATCTGATTTGATCACATGAGAACAAATCGACACTAATGCTTCCTGCATGAGTCACATGAGAAAGTCTTTCACCCACTCTTCAGTGGGCAAGCACATTCTTCCCTTGGATGCAGCTTCCCCAAACCACGTTTTAGCATGAAAAATCATCACTTGACTTTCAAAATCAGTATTCGCCCATTTGCCTTCAAAGTATTCATGGTGACTTCTCATGACCCCTAGTGGGGTTTGGACTTCCCAGAGAGCTGGCCTATGATCTATCGCCTGCATCTGCATTCCGAGCCCTGGTATTCCTTGGAGGTCTCCCTTCCAATTAGTTGCCAGGCCTGGCCCTGCTTAGCTTCTGAGATCTGGCAAGATCAGGCTTGCCTGGGCTATCCAGGTCAGGGCATTAACAGCACTTCTTAATAATAATGCACTAGCCGAGGAAGGAATTTCATTTTATAATCCTCAAACTACTACTGGTTGAGTGCTAAGAAAATGTGATGGCCCTAGCGTCCCCTTGCACCTATATGGCAAATGAGTCAGATCTGCTTATTAGCTATGCTAATGACATGCTACAAACAGATTGTCAAGAAAGGAACTGTAAGAGGCGGAATAGCTAATTAACTCTTAACTACATCTTATTTTAAATACATAATTTTAAATGCTAAAGGATGTGTCCATTAAATAAGAGGCCATAGCTTTTTTTCCCCCTTTAACGCATCCTTGTTTGTCCCAGATTAAATGAAATTATCTATCGAGGTTGTTAAGTGCATCATCAGCCCTTGTTCGTCATGTTTAAAAGGGACGTGCTCTGTGATCCATCCCTGTCAACCTCTAACTTGTAACCCTGTTGTAAGGCACCCTGAGCCCTGCTTGTAGGGAAGGGCGGCCTAGTAAATCCAATTTAATAAATAAATAAATAACTGCTGCGCAAGATGCAGCCCCTTGGCCATAAACCTTTGTGATGGCTCAAACTACCACATGAAAGCCTGTAACGAGCTGCAATGGAGTCAGGCGCTGCAGAAGAGGGGATACTTAAGTGAGTTTTATGGCTCTGGTTTGGAGAAAGAAATGACAAGAGAGACAAATTAAACTGGCAATTCTTAGCCTTGAGAGGTCCCGGCACAATTTGAAGGAAAGGGTTGAATGAAACTCGGTAATGTGTAGCCCCTTCAGAATGAAGAAAAATGTCAGTCACACATGGAAACGTCTCTCTCATTCTCTCTGTCTGAGGGAGCCTGAAGTCAGGACAAAAACAGGGGAAGCCACTGGAAACTGCTTAAGGCACATGACACTGCTTTTTATTCCTCTGTGCTCCCTTATAATGAAGGAATACTGAACTGGGGGGGGGAGGAGGTGATAACCTATCCGGACCAGGGGTCTCTCTTTTATTTATTATTTCATTTATACCCTGCTTTTCTCCTCAATGGAGCACCAAAGCAGTTTACATCACTTTCCTCTCCTTCACTTTATCCTCACAACAACTCTGGGAGTGGAGATTTGAACCTGGACCTCCCAGATCCTAGTCCAACATTGTAACTGATACACCTTCACTGGCTCTCCTGGTAGGGTTGCCAAGTCCATCTTCCACCCCCCAGCGGGGGACTTTGGGGGCGTTCCTGGAGGGGGCGGGGCATCCCCGACGTGATGACGCCACATTGGGGATGTCCA